TGCAATAATACAGTTTGTGTTGATCAAGTGATGTGATGTCTACAGTAAGAAAAGAATCATCAATGACTGCTTTGGAATGTGCACTGCGTTCCGATGGTAGTGCTAAGCGAACCGTTTCATTTTTAAAGCGCGGTTATAAGATCTAACAGATCTTCTTGTTATTAACGTGACTGGGGGCTTGATTCTGGTCCAGTGTCACTACGCTAATTAAAACAGAAATTGAGGAAAGTGGATCAATGTGTTGATCAATTGTTTACATGTACATATTTAATTAAAGAGAGTTGGAGTAATGGTTATTTTATTACCCATCACTGACCAATGTAAGGTCATAAATAATATTATTGTACATGTAATGATAAACATTTTAATCTTTGTTTCAGCTCACTGGTTGAGTATTGAGGGTCTTCAGCCAGCAATTCCTGAGAATCCACCGCCAGGTAATAGAAAAGAATGCAGTGGTTTCACTAAAAGGCATTTGGCAAGCTCAGCCTTAACTTAACTTACTTACATCAAATAAGTAATTAATTAGTATCTTTTTTTCTTATTTGCATTATGTTAATTATCATATTTAGCTTCTGTTGTGAATCATTGTATTGTTTATAGTAATCTATTTTCTTTGTGTCTTCAATGAAGTTCCCATACAAGTCCAGGCTAAGGAGAGCAGGGCTGGGTTAGCTACAGTGGTACCAACTGGATCCAAAGCTGCAAAACTGCCAGTAGTAAAAATTGCCGGCAAGGGTAAGAAACAGAGCGCTATGAAAAAGACTGAAGTGAACTCAGGTGCCGAGACTACAGGAGACAAGAGTGAAAAAACTAAACCTCAGGTCACTCATGAATTGTCAATGGTAAGGCATGTTTAGTTCTTTTTTTATAACCTAGAACTCAAAAAGAGAGCTGTCCCACTAGTATTAGTATTAGAGCTGCACATTTTAGTAATGATTTACTGACATACTTGGCCTCGAATATGGGCAGAAAGTTACATATAGGAAAGTAGCCTTAACATAGGCCTTGAATGTGTACAGAAAGGTATAATTAAACTAAATGATTTATAATACAGCGTATTATAATGATACAGAGCTGTAAATATTATGTATGTTGAGCGCTATATAATTTAACTTGTATTATATATAGGCCTGCAATTCATGCAGATAGGTAGATAAGTTTAACGAGTATATTATAATGTAGGGCTTCAATGCTTAGAGCTGCATAATTTATGTACTATCATTGACCTTTAATGAATGCAGAGAGCTACATGTGACCTACAACTAATTATATAAAATCTGTTTATTAATAACAGAAAGGAGAGTTTTCATACTGACTATAGATGTCTGTTTGATATTTTATCAGGAACAACAGTTATATTACAAGGAAATTACAGAAGCTTGTGTGGGGTCCTGTGAATCTAGAAGAGCTGTAAGTTCTCTTCTGCCATTCTGAAATCTTGCATATGTTATAGATAGCCTGTATCTCGAAGTGCTTCCTTAAAATTATGATAACATGATTTTTTTTTAATTTTATGCCCAATACTTACAGATTTTCCCTCTTTATGTAGGAAGCTCTTCAGAGCTTGTCAACAGACCCAGGTCTTTACCAGATGTTACCAAGATTCAGTACATTTATCTCTGAAGGGGTAAGGGATAAGAAAATGGTTGGTCCTCTTCACACACCATCTGAGCCCAACTGTTGAGATCAGATGGACTTTCTTTTCAAGTTTATGATGATTGTCCATCACCAGCGCTCAAAGTTAAAAAAACTATCCAAGTTATCCTTTTTCCAAATACAGGACAACGTAACTCCTGTCTCTGGTTACCCTGATGAGTGCTTGGTTGCCCTTAAAATATTGTATAATTTGTTGCTTAGTTATTGCTGGTTTTCAGTGTCATGAAATTCAAAATAGATCAAAATAAAAGTCAAAACCGGTCAATAGATAAAGTCCAGAATCTGGGAAATGAAAGAAGGTAAAATATGCAAAGACTTTCACCAAGATTCTGGTTGCAGCAATTTTTCTTATGCAAGATATGCGGAGAAATTTTTTACCCAAATTTATAGAGATTTGTATGAAGACGCCATGCTGGTGCCCATCCNAAACCTTAGTCTTACTATCACGTTTTTAGCTTTTATTACTTCTGTATTTTAGACATATAATGTATATTTTACCTGAAAACTACCTCTAGGTGATTGGAGGCCTCCTCTGAAAATATTAGTTTATTATTATTATATTATTATTATTACCTGCGTGCCATAATATTTTGGGGAGGCCTGGTTTTGAAAACAGGACAGTTTGCGACGTCTGTTAAAAGTGGTTGTGTGGACCATTTTTTAGTCGTCTCAGGTGACTGGAGGACCGCTAATTTCAAGCACTGCATCACTCTAATATGGAATCCCCCACCCTACCCCCTGTAGCTCAATAGCCTTACCTTGAATGGTGGTATATGGTTCTTTTTTTGTGCTAATTGTTTTCTAGGTGAGAGTCAATGTTGCCCAAAATAACCTCGTGTTATTGATCTATCTCATGCGAATGGTGAAAGCACTGCTGGATAATCCAACACTCTACTTGGAAAAATATGTGAGTTTCAGTTTGGCAACTTTCATTTAGAAAAAGTGTTGTCTGACATTATAGCTTATAGACTGGTTGAAATGGTGAAGGTAAACATTTTAAAGGCCCTATGTGCCATGATGCACAAGGAAAATTAGGTAACAGGTAACAACCCATTTTCACCAGTTATGATATGATGATTTTGTGATTTTCTTTCATCAGCTTCATGAGTTGATACCAGCAGTTATTACATGTATTGTGAGTAAACAACTCAGTCCCAATCCCGACACTGATAACCATTGGGCACTTAGAGACTTTGGATCAAGAGTTGTTGCACAAGTTTGCAGGTGATTATATTACATTGCCCAACTTTACTTACATGTACTGTGGCTAGCAATGGTGAATATAGCAATAGATTATGAATACAATATCAGCCAACTTGACAATGAAAAAAATCAAGTCAAATTTAGAGTCTAGTTTTTCATTTAAATGGACCTTTATACCAATGTCATGCTTTTCTGTTGTTTTTGATCAAACAAAAAATAAATCTCACCTCTCGATTAATCATGCCAAATTTAGAAAATTTGCAAACTTTCATTAGAATCCATTGCAAGTGCATTATATGGGACTCCAAACTTGCCAATTCTTAAAAAGATCTTTGTGAGTTTGGGGTCCTATATTTTTGAGTTTGCAACAAATTCTTGTGAACCTTGGTAAATTTACTAAATTTGGCATGATAAATCGAACTATGGAGGTGAGTGTTTGTTTATTTGAAAATTATGCAAAATTGTTGATGGAATGTGTGTCATTGGTAAAAAGGTCCATTGGTGCAAGCTTGCTTGGGTCTTGAAAAGTGAATTAATTGTGATTTGTTACTGTCTGTCAGGTCTTTTAATTCCACCACAAATAATGTTCAAACACGAGTCACTAAAACATACTGCAAGGTGAGTGACAGACCTTAGGGGTACAAATTATTCTAAGCAATAAACAAATTATCCTCAAAGTAAAGGGAATCTTACATATTAGTTTCAAGGTCATTTCAATGGGTAAGAAAAACCTCAAGCTGCCAATTGACCCATCATTACATGACACCAAGTGACTGTCAAAAAACACATGAATCTTGCTCAATATAAACTGTTGATGATTTACAAGTTTTGTTTGAAGTATCATTAAAACCAAGGGGTGGTGAATGGTCCTTCAAAAACCACGGGTCTCACAAAATCTTTGTCGAATTTCATAGGTCTCACAGTCTTGATTTTTGGCAGTAATACATGTGTGTCTCGCAGTCTCAATTTTTTCACAAGGCTGTCTGGAGTCTCGATTTTTTGCAAGGTTAATAAAGTCTCGAAGTCCGGATTTGTTTGTGTGCTTTTATAAATAACATGGGCCCCTTAGAATCTGAACTTCTTGTGCTCACACTTAGTACACTTTGAGGTCTTGGTCTCACAATTTGAAAAGTCAAAATGTCTGGGCTCACAAAGAAAAATGCTTGTCTCGCCTTCTCACAAAGTCTGATATTTACCATTCTCCATCCCTGATACCAAGCTGTTTCATTCCTACAGGCGTTGCACCAGGAAAAAGCTTCACTATCAACTCACTATGGAGCCATTACTGGGCTGGCAGAATTAGGACAGGAGGTAGGAACCAATAAATACAAAATGGTCTGCTTCTTTGAACAACCTGTTCCATGTAGATACCAGAGAAAGTTTGAGAGAATGCAAAAGTTTTCATATCAAGTAAATTTGAATTCTGCCAAACTGTATTGAATGTTCCCATCTGGCTATGTAAAGAAATTAGTATTAGCCATTTCATTTATTTTTTGTCCATAAAACAAGCCAACAAATCTAATGATAGATCTTACTTAGTTTATCCCTTGAGAGCCTAAATGACATACTCAGTACGTCATGATTTTTGCTCCTCGGGTGCCCATATGATGTACTGAGTACGTGAAAATTTTAGGAGATTTAGTCACACTCCCGGCAAACCAGAAACAACTTTTATCAGCACTTGAGATTTGTAGGGGGTTTTTCGAGAGACTACTAATTTCTCATTGCTCTAACGTCATGTGGATATCACATTACACCAACCTCAGCAAAATAAACTACATTAGAGAGACACTTTTACGACCTTTGAGAAAATGTGTATCTGTCTTTAGTTTAAGTGAAAAAGCTTATTATGGTATTTGACAGCCGTTTTCAGTGAAAATGGTGTAGCACACAGCATACACAACTGTCTGGCACTCAAAGTGGTTATCATGGCCTGACAGACACCTTGTCCATGCTGACACTCTGTCATGATTGGTCACCTCTCTTGGAGACCCAACTGTGTTGATCACGTGGCAAGGGTGTCTCTCAACTTGAACTGTAGAAGGTTTACAGATGCAGTTACTTAATTTTACATGTATTTCGTAATTTCGTTATTTGACAGGTGGTGAAAGTGTTTATCATTTCAAGACTCAAGATTGAAAGTGCTTTGATCAAACAAGCACAGGAAGGTGTGGATCCTGTGGAAAAGAATGCTGCTGAGAATCTCAAGAATTTACTGCTGGTACATCATATTATCAGTCACTATTATTTTACACTTTACATCCAGGAGATGACATTACCCACCCTTTAGACAACTGATGCTAGAAGAGAAAGCACTGTTCAAATTCTGTTACTCACTACACTAAGTTGTTGTCTTTATGTTTACATATGTGGATGTAATATATCAAACAGGAAAGACTGTGTTTTACCACATTTCCAAACACCAAGAAAAGAGTTGAAAATATGATGCGTAATGCAGTATTTTTGATGAACTTCAAGGTGTGTGGAAATGTGGTCAAAGATGGTCAAGATTTCATGTTTGATGTATCTTCTTGATCAAAACTAAGACTAAGGAGAAAATGGAGAAATAAAGTTGTAAAAATCTGTGCTAATTAAGATCTGATATCCAAACACTGTCATGGTCATGATTTCCTCTGTTTAAACTTGATGAATTATTAATGAGCTTGAGAAGTATGTTTAAGCATAAACTAACTGATGTGTTGATTTTCCTTTTATTCTAGAAACACTGCCCTGGTGTGTTACTCAGGACTCGCCTGCCTCCAGATACTCCTGAACAGTATGAGAGAGATTTTGGTGTAATAGGCCATCTCCTTTGTACAAAAGTCTCACAGATGCGGCAAGCAATTAATGCTATAAAAAAGCCCTCTACACTGACAGTACGCACAGTGACTGGTGTGCTAACCCCAGGGGTCACCACTCCTACCACACCCACCATCCCTGGGGTCAGTCCAGTGAAAGCTGTCACTCCAACCACCCCTGGGGCATTCACAATAGCCTTGTCTGGTGTAAAAGCTGGTTTACCCACCACCCCTAGGAGTTCTAACCCCACTACCCCGACCTCAGCAGGGCCTGCATCACTGGCAGGTTTAGTGTCAACAGGATTGATGGGTACAAGTTCCGTAAAACAGGGAACAGCCAGTCCAGCAACACCACAGACAACTCTGCCTGGTGTGACATCAACAAGTAACACAACAACTGGTGGTTCTGTCACATAACATCTTAATTGTGTTTATATTGTATTTAATTGGGTGACTGTACAAAAAAAAAAAAACTTACAAAACAAAACCTTGTTTTAACTGAGCCAGGTTTTTAGTACTGTTTAGTAAAATACATACCTGTAGAAATTAGCAGGAGCCATTGACAAGAACCAGAGTTCTCATTAACACACAGGTGTGCATCTTACATGCACAAAAAAAATAGATGAACAGTATTTTGGCAAAAGTAGGAAAAAAAAAGTTCCGAAAGTTTTATTAAATAGGCAAAGGGCCCCTGAAAAGCAAAAAGAACCCCCAAATCTTTGGAACTGGGGGTCCCAAGGACCCTTAACTAGCAAAAACTAGTGGAAACTCTGAAAAACATTTTGTAACTAGAAATTTCCACTGAATGTAAACTGTATACAATGTACATGTAGTTCAATATGCATGAGTAATAATGAACAAAATCAGAAAAACGTGTCATTCTTGAACTCTTAAACAATGTCTTCTTCCTTACTTTTTACCATACAAGCCAAATTCAGAAAATTACAAAGTTTTGAGGAGAGTTGATTAAGATTTGAATGAAAATCCTATAATAGTTACATAACTGTAGATACACTGTAGCTGTCAATGCAAACCTTGTATATGAAACAGGGGATCAGTACTAATTTGGATGTCTTCCTTTGATTGCTTAATCACAACTGAAAAGTACTTTCATTGTTCTCATATCTTTTACTTCCCATTGAGAAACCCAGACATGTATTTACTGTAGAGTACTGCAAGCCCCTGTACCCCTGTGGGAATCCCATATCAAAAGGTTGGGGATGTTCGTCATCTCACTTCGGGGTATAAATGTAGAATTCTGGTTGCACCTAAGGTGATGATGACTAAACGCCACTATTTTTAGCAGTCAAAATATCTTTTAGGGTGCACTCGGAGAAATGATAATCAGAGAAAGTTAACGTTCTTATTTCCATTTTTAGGCTCAACTTCTGCTGGTCTCTTGTGTCTGGTTTACTAGCATGGGCTCCTTTCCTGAACAATGGCTGATAATTGAGCCTACTCTGTTTTAACTGGCATCTTTTAGTGGTCATATATTAAATCTTCAAATATTTCGACAAGTATCCCCGACCTTTTCATGTGGGAGTCACCCCACCATTGGCCCTTAACCTTTCTCACACTGCTTGCTTTTGGCAACAATACTTCCTCAAGAAAGACTAGAATGCCTTGGAATTGTTGACCCAAAGTATTCAAATCTTAACATTCTCTTTAAAATGGGTCGAGGCACGTGACTGTGAGGAATGGAGCAGGGAGAAATGAAATGTTTGTTCCAGTTAAAATCTTTGTTGTGATGGAGACTTGTTGCTGATTGGCTGCGTTGTCTTGTTGCAGATGGTATGTGTGCCCCAACTAAGTGACTTTTGTTAAATCTAGTCTTTGCTTCAGGCCAAGTAACTTCACCTGTTTAAATAAATTGTATAAGTCTGAGTTGAGTAACATGGCTAAGCACCTTACCAGGAATGTTACTTTTTGAGTCCATATAACATATTACCGGTATATCTTTGGCTCCTATACACCGCAACTTTCTAAGTATTGTTTCTTTACGATGTTCTGGTTCATATGTACATTAAATTCAAGCTTATTGTCTCTTAATATTGCTGGATACATATATGCATGACCAAAATTGTGTGGTTCCAGAAAATATCCACACCTCCCCAGGCCCACAGAAGGGATTTTTTCTAAGACGTGCCACCCCTCTGGAAATTCCAATTAAGCTTCATACATTTCTTTACATTTTTTGGTCTTACAGAACCCCACACTCCCAAGAAAATTCCAATCCATTCTGTGGGGTAGTATGGATATTTTCTGGAACTGCACATTGTTACTTTTTTTTGAAACATGAATAGAAAAAATCAACTCCTCTGGAATTTTTCTGCAAATATGGTAGTAGGAACATCACCAGTTAAGTAATATCAGACCTTGAATCATTGTTTTAACTCTGTCAAGGTACTTGGGAGTTATGACTTCAGGACCTGAGAAGCTCTTCACTGGGGTGACTGAGGAGGAACAAAGAATACCATAGTTAACCAAGCTTTAGACTGTGCAGGGTGATGCACATTTCACCTCTCCTTTCCTTACATCGAAAGGTAGACACAATGACATTTAATTCTCAACAAGGCAATCCTCTTTGATGGACTAAGACATGAAAAGGCGAAACACAATGCAAGTCTGATTTACAATACCTTCAGGTTTGGCAAAGAGAGTCTCATCTATAAAAGATGCCTTTGACACTGGCTTGTATGAATCACGTAACCTGAAAAAAGCAAGAATTAAGGACACCGAATGAGTTGCGACTACACACCAGCACCTGACTGTCTCCTCCCCTTGCCATCAGAGCCTGCTTTGATTATTAACTTACATTCTTTTGCTTGGTATAAATCTGACGTTTCTTGCATGGGTGAATATTCCATAACCATCCTTGCAGTGAAAGTACTGGATCCCCTTGTACAGACCACTTGTGTTACCAACTTGAAATGCAATGATTAAAATAATGTAACATTAGTTATCAACTATTGTTGTTGGAGGTCTAACTGTAAGCATGTTGGCTCCTGATGGCCACTGTCTTGTGTTCTTGCTCAGGGCTCTTTACTTTTTATGGTAAACATTTAATGCTAAGGGTAACCCTCTGATGGCCTACCTTCCCAGCCTGCGGAAAGTAGGAAACACCCCTAGTCCAGTGACTGGGATAACATCTGGCTGGCACTATCGAGCACTTGACCCGAGGTGGACTTTGGTTATCATTTACATCTCATTCTGTTGATAAACTCAGAGAAAATGTAACCGTTCTTGACGTTAGGTTGTCTCCAAAATTAATTTGCCTTAGCTGTGCAGGAGGCCATCACAACAGAAAGAATTGGACGATACCAATCAAGGCAACTGTTGGCAATGATCTTCTTGAAAGGCGATTTAAGGTATAAATATTTTTTGAAAAGAACTGAGGTTGCATGCTGCCAGAACAAGCATAAGTATCAACAGATCGAACTACGGAACCGAGAGCCGAGAAAACCGTCTAGAGAACCCCAGTATTCCATTCTATCCCGTTTATATCTCGTCCGGGTACCGTTGTTGAGAAAGTAGTTTGAAGTGAAACAATCAAAACACGAGGCACTCAATTTAATCAAGTGTGAAACAAGGTTCTCTAAAATATCAACTGATCTTAGCCTTTGTTTACGCAGCTAGAAATATTTGGGTTTGGTGACATGGACTGACAAGTTAACTTCACTTTATAGGGTTATTAAAACGTTTTCTAAGCAAGATCGAAGCATCGCTACGGTACCTCTATTGTCCAACTCGATGCCAACCCATTCGCCATCTTTAGCTACCAAGCTACCCGCATATCGAATCGTCCCGTTTTCGATTTCTCCCCGCCATCTTACTTGGACACGAGCCCCAGGATTGATGTTATGAAAGAAGACCATGGATCTATCTTCTACATCTTGTTTTTGCGTAAACCTTTAGAGTAAAAAAAAATGTAAATCGCTGGCAAAACGATGAAAAACCCGCAAACAAACCCAGTTGGCGGGAGAACCAACACATTCTATTCAGAGCTCTGATTGGTTTAAATGGGAAGAATGGAAGAATTTTAACCAATCAACAGTGATGTAAGATTTCGAACGCGTTGCTATGGTAAACCAAGAAATCATAGTGACGAGCCGTATATTAGCAACACGGCAGACATCTTGGATTCAGAAAAGCTTCTTGAGAAAGCTAAACAGAGTTTGCTCCATAAACAACTATGGCTCTTCCTTTCCTTCCAGGACAAGTTTTCGACCGCAAGGTACGAATTTAAATGTCAGAAATGACGTCTTATTTTCTTTATTTTCAGCAGAGCTTGTAGTAAAACCCGCCTAACTCTGATCTTTCTCCACAGATTGGCAAGACAAAATTTCACAAATCACATCAATTTGATTATCGGAATGATGTATCAGTTTATGTTGGAGAAGCTAAAAGTGGAATCGGTATGCAGTAAAACTATACTATTTTTCTTCGAAACAATAATTTGTTCATCGAATGTTTGAATCGCGTTTGCGAATGTTTGAATCGTGCTTGTGAATGTTTCCTCTCAACATGTTCGTCTCTTTTTTTTTATCATTCCTTCCATATTCTTACATGTAAGCTGAAGTTTATATCGTATTGATTATTTTTAGGAGGGGATCCATTACCAGGACAAAAGCTTAAACCAAGACACAGTGGTTATCCGAAAGGAATTGGTGGAGAGGCCCCAGCTTGGGTTGCATTTGACAGACAGGTAAACACAATTTGATAAAAAGAATGGAAAAATTTACATTAATTATAAAGAACTGAAATAAAACTCTACTTTCACTTAACTTTGCTTATGCTCCGAAGTTCATAGCTTTTCATTCTGCTTCGAGAACATACCCAATGGTATACCTACAGTGATTGACTAAGCTAACTTTCTGGGCAGCAAAACAGTCTGTATAACTGGTACCCAAGCATATGAGGCACTAACTTGAAGAGGGTCATACAGGGGGGGGGGGGGGGGGGGGGGAATAACCACGGGAAAAACCTACGTGAAAAACGTTTCGAGACACCAACATGACAAGAACCGATAAAGTAGGATCGCAACAGTGGACAGCTGTTTCGCCCTTCTTGGGGCTCGTCAGCA